AACCAAAATACCCCTGAAAAGTTTCGGGGGTATTTTGATCAGTTTATATTTTTTGAATTATTTTTGAATATTTTTATTAGATCCGCCTTGATGATTAGAATCGACGTTTAAATTTTCAAGTGATATGAATTTGTAGAAAAAAAAATGAAAATTCAAATATGAAACAAGGTCGTGCCTGTTAGATCGACATTGGCTGATACTGTAGTGGTCAACCCATGGGCTGAAATCTTTGTGATAGCCTTAAAATATATGTTCATCTTTATTTATAAGCTTAAAGCTTCAAAAGTAGCGTAGATAGAGCATATTTATAAAAACTTGACAATCCTGAAAATTGACGGTCCACGAAAGCATTATAAAATACCCTATTTCCAAAACTTGAAATCCATTTTTTTTGTCATGTCCATGCATCTTGATGTTGAAATGATCCATTTGTGCATCAAAACAACCTTTTCTAGTGAAATTTTTAAGGTAGGTTCTAGTTTGATTAGTTAGAGCCATAGTTCTCTCTCTCTCTATATATATATATATATAGGAAAAGCCTTCCCAACGCCTATAGGCGAAAATGAACAATGATTTCGCCTATACTCATGACCGTCAAAAGTTCATCGCACGGTCACGATTGTCCGATAGTGTTTCAATTTTTTTTTTTTCTATAAATCGAAATGATTTAAAATTTGGAGCGTGTGTGCATCTTACTAAGGCGTATCTAATAAAAATATGAAAAACATATTTCGTAAAATATAAATTGACCAAAATACCCCTGTAAAATTTTAGGGGTATTTTGGTCAATTTATATTTTGGAAATTATTTTTTTTATATTTTATTAGAAGCTCCTATTTTTGATGAATACACACTCGAAATTTCAGATCATTCCGATTTGTAGAAAAAAAAATGAAAATTGAAATATTACCGGACAATTGTGACCGTGTGATGAAGTTTGGATGGTGATGAAGGTAGGCGAAATCACTGTTCATTTTCGCCTATAGGCATTGCGTAGTGTTTTTCATATATATATATATAGGGAAAAGTTTATATAGAGCTGAGGCTCTAAACAATCAAATTTGAGCTTACCTCAAAAATTTCACTAGAAGATGTTGTTTTGATGCCCAAATATCCTCAAATTGATCATCTCGACATCAAGATACATGGACATGAGAAAAAAAATGGATATTAAGTTTTCGAAATGGTGTATTTTGTAAAGCATTTTTGGACAGTCAATTTTCAAGTTTTCATAGATATGTCGATCTACATTATTTTTGAAGCTTTAAAATTTATAAATAAAGATGAAAATATATTTTAAGGCTATCACAGAGCTTCCAGTATTGAAACCACATTTCTCGACACTATTTGAAGGTAGGCTTTAATTTGATTGTTTAGAGCTTAGGCTCTATATATATAGGGAAAGCTTTCTATGTTCCCCCTACAAGATAGAAGTTCTATCCTCCCCTTACCATCCAGCCATCCATTTTTATCAAGAGAGCCACTCGCCGTTTGATCTTAAGATCCGACGTCTCAAAGTTTTTATTTTTAGTTTTTTTTAATACAAATTTTTTGAATATGAAATTTGGTATGCGCCATCTTCTCATTGGGGCGCACCTAAAAAAATATTAACAATAATTTTTCGATAAAAAATAATAACCAAAATACCCCTTGAAACTTTCAGAGGTA